CAGCTGTGAAAATGTCAAGACATTTAAATTTTATACGTAGATATTTGAGATCACCAAGAGACCATATATACTTAAGATATATTCACCGGATTTCGTCTACGATGATAGAGATCTGGTACTTACATTTTCCCTAAACCGAAGGAGGGCTTGTAGGTGACTACGTCAGACTGAGAGTAACAGTGTGATAAGGCTGCTTTTCATGAAATTGTTTTCCCCAAGAATGTCAATGGCCTCCTTAACCTTCCTTTCCCTTGTCATTTCACTGTATCAAGCCCTTTATTCAGTTGCCTTCCAATTGATGTTGTGTCCACTCTATGCGGTGCGTTCCGCTATTTCTAATATTTCGGTGTCCACTTTCCTGCAAAGCCTTTGATGTTCCTTGATTCGTATGTTAAGCTTCCCCCAGACAAGGTGTGTCCAAATTAATCGCCCTGACAACCCGACCAATTAGGTCGGACCACTTAATTATTTTGGGTTGTATGAAATGGATTAGAACAGGCTATACAATAGGCTTTACCTACACACGGCTCGTACTACTTAACATCGATGGTAAAGTCGAACATGACAGCCTTACCAACTTCGCATTGAGGCTGAAGTAAACCTTAGATGCCTTCGCTTAGCCCGACAAATCATGGATTATGAATGGTTTTTGTAAGGGGAGACTAATGTTTATGCAAATTATCCCATGAACTTAATTATTTCGTGTAAGCTTGTAATTATTATGCGCACACATACGAGCATTAATGAATTCTCCAACAATTAAATGAGGAGACCTTATAAAGCCATTGCATTTGGCATTGTCCGGTCTCCAAAACACCCTTTCATCCAAGCTAGACATAGATTTCGAATCCCGCTAGGATTCCTTCTCTCTTCAGAGGTCATGCGTGTAAATTACAACAAGACACAACTGCATCACACAGCCACAGGTGCTAATGTGCCACAGAGCTTATTTGAATTTCGAGCAAGCAATCCTATTTATTGTTAGACCGGTGTAGAAAGTTAAAACTAAGATTTGTCATGAGATTCAACGACATAACTAAACACCAAGTGGATAGGCTTTTAAACGATCTGTTGTCTTTTAAAAGAACCTGATCACCCTAGATTGTTAACATGATGAAATAACTACTAGTCAAGATTCCCAAAATGGGATTCTTTGGTCTTAAGATGCATTATAATTTCACTTAGCCTTGACTCTTTCAAATTCCGTTGGAGTTCTGAAAAGACTTTGAAGCAAAGTTAAACCCACAGTTAAGCATAAACAATGAAATATTTCTGAATGCAAGGCGCTGTGAAATTTAATAGCATCTTGTTGTCTGCTCAATTCATAGTTTTGTAATTCAACAGCCAGTTTTAAATAATTTTTATATAAAAGCTGTATTCACTCTGTTTCGTTTAGGGTGATTAGTATTGGCAGTTGAATTTTCCCATCATGGTATAAGTAGGCCTCTTGTTTCTACTGAATTTTGCACAGCCTTGCTTATATCAAAAGTTACTGTCATCCAAGATGGAATGCTTTCTCAAAGCTATTTTCATCCAGACTGAACGGCAGTTTCGACCTGATCTAGGTCTCATCAGCTACTTCAGTGGGGCTCAAACCTAAAGACATTCGGGACAATGTGGCATAGTGATTAATGTGTTAATACTATACGCTGAACTACTCGGGTTCGAGATCCATTGGGGGTGCTGAGGAGACCTAGGCGAGGTCGTAACTGCAATAAAGTCTGGATGAGAATAGCTTTAGGGAAACAAGACCATGTGAAATTCAATGGAAACAAGAGGTCCGAAAATTCACTTACCACTTCTTCCTGACTTTAGTCGAAATGGGAAAAAAACAGTTCGTATATATAAGATCTACTGGTAGTCACAAAAACCAATTTATAAACGGAAAAAGGCCACGAAATAGCGTGAATACATCTCATTACACTGATTTACTGGCAGTCTCGAAACCCTACTTTCATACGAATATAAGTAACGTTGTCGATTGCTATAGCAAACATACGTTTCCTTCATTGGCACTCCCATCAAAAGAATATGATATAGCAGAGGCCTGACCTTCCTTGAAACTCACTTATGCCCTGTGACTCAAGGGCAC